CCCCAAAACCCCAAAACCCCAAAACCCCAAAACCCCGTGATCTTAATACCCCAGTTTATAAGGGGTTAAAATAAAATAAATTAGTTTTGAGAAGCGCGGAAATAATGAGAAAATATGAATGTATTTCTTATTTATATAAACACTTAAATAAGTAATCAGTTTGATTTAAGTTGTGACACTAATGAAGAAATAATATCACAATATATAATCTCATTTAACAACTGGAGCTGCTTCATTCTTGACCTCTTGTACTATTTTCTTTCCAGTAATTGCTAGTCTAAGCATAAATGATTTGAAGTAGTCGTTTCTAATTCTTGCACACAATTCCTCCTTTGTTACTTGATCTCCTAGACCTGAAAGAGTTTTAGCAATGAATTCATTTCTTTTGGTTTGTCCTCCGTTCAAATAGTCAATGGCCTTCTTTTTCTCTTCACTATCTTCAATGTCTGTACCCTTCAAAAGATCTATAATTAAAATAATTGAGTGAGTATACTGCCATTGACTAATTTATTGTAAAATATCTTACTGTTATTCATCTCAATAGCAATATAGGCAAGGTCCTCGAGTAATTCCTATACAACAGCCTTAGTGACAGTCTTTTGAAGCTGAGGGTTGATCAAATGCCAAAGCTCTTTCTCTTGGTCTTCGACTGAATTGTGCTTGCACAGCAAAAATCCAAGTTTTAGTAAGTTATTGACTGTGTGTCTAGCTTGGATGAAGAATTTATTGGTGTCCTTATAAACAATATGGAAAGCTGAATTCTTGACGTCATTCATCTGATAAATATCCAACTTGATTTCCTTGCTGATGCTCTTGATATGCTCATCATTTAGATTGATACGATATCCAAAGCGCTTGATTGCTCCTTGGAAAGTAAGGTATTCAACCTCATTCAATTTGATTCTGCACTCTGACTTAAAAACGTAGTTTTCCTCCTCGGGTACTCCTTCTAGTCTCACTGACTTTTCTCTTGAACCGCAAGCTCCCCTATATAATACAATCAGTATGTTTAAAAACAAAAAAAGCTTTCAAATGATATGATCTAGGCTAGATATAGTAAGAGCACTTACATTTTTAATTGAAAATATTAAAATATTATACTTTTATCATTCATTATTATGAAATTAACTTTAACTTAAAGATTGGAATTATCATCATTCAAATATCGATAATCATTTTACATCATCTCTGGAAATTATGCACTTTCATTAGGACTATCAGTTTCTGCATAAGTTGAGCTAACTCCAAAGGCTCATTCTTTGAAATACTTGCAAGTTCCTGTTAAATCTCAACCTTAGATGCCTAATTGAATGGAAAAAGCTGATTTAAGTGATATTTTCCCTGTGATTGACTTAAATTCAAAGCTGAGATAGGTCTCCTATCACCATTTTTAATAGAGATATCTTGATTTTGGCTTTTGTGGCTATAATTGTTATGAGATTTTAAACTTGACTTATTTATCATAGGGAGTGGCTAAACACTATTTACTGCTATCAGTTTGGGATCAGTAGCTAGGTGTGGTAGTTAATCTTATTCTGAAGAAATTATAGCAGTTCTTGAATTTGCCATAATATTTCTTGATCTTATATTACCCACTGATTGGCAATTATTTAGTCTATTGAGAGACTTTAGTTTGTTAAGATTTATTTCAGGTATTGCACTCTTTAATGCCACTCTCTTTAACTCATTCAACTCCTCGCTATTAGTGTTAGGATTTTAAAATGTTGCATGAGGTTTGGCCATAAAAATATTAATCTTATTGCTAATCTATGCTAATTTAGCTTCTGGTCTTGATTGCCTCGATGTTTAAGCACCAGATTTGAGTGCAATCTTTTTATCATTGATAGGAGTTTTTATCTAACTGTCTCTTGTAATGGATATTGAATTCAAGGGTGAAGATTGCTTAGTAAGTCTAATGAAGGATGGGGTGAGCTAATGATTATTTTGCTCTTGAATAGTCTTAAGGGAATTTACAACATTCATGTAGTTTTATTAGATTTGCAATTTCGGAACATGGTCATTTGATGAATTAAGCTATCTCAAACCGGATTAATGCAGACCTGAAAATTACTCCTCTTAAAATGATATAGAGTCATTATTTTCATGGAAAAATTACTTCACCTATTCTCTACTGCTATTAATAACTTTTGGTGAAGAAACAAGTCTTTCTAAGTTAAACAGCTTTTCATTATCAATCTTAATCTTATTAGTAAAGGCTTGATACTTCTTTCTCATTCTAGCTTTCTTCTTGCCGTATTATTCTTCTCTAGGAATTATCTAGAAAGCTTATCTAGACTACATAGATGTGTTAGGTGAATCAAGAGGTGAATCATTCAGAAAATCATTTTGATTGAAGTCTGGATCAATTTTAAGATTAAATCTATCCATATACGGTCTAGGGGGTCCATCATTATGCTGACTAAAAAAGATATCTATAAGTTTCTATAGTTTTTCCTTGTTTTTTTTATCCTAAACATCACCGAGTGATTTCAGCATCATCATTGGCGTTCTCATCCTTTAAGTCAAATTGCCATCTATGTTTCTTATTGAAAATTTTCTATAGTAATAGCCCTCCTCCTTCTTATTCATTAGTAAAGATTTCACTCTTTAATTTCTTTGCTTTTTAGCTTTTTCTTTCTCTGAGCTTTTAGCTGTACCTAAGCCTTCAACCTCAGCTTATTTTAACTTATCCTTTATTAGGCCTAAAAACACTTTGGCATTTCTTTGGTTTTCTATTATGCCTTTTATATACTGTTCAAGCCATTCTTTTTCATGAGCTAGCACGTTCAATACAGCATAGTTCTTTATCAAATGATCCACATCACCTTTATTCTTGTGATAGATAGTCATAAATGACTCTTTAACAAAATTAGCATCTACTTTTCTAATCAAATACAAATCTTCATTCATCTCATCTGAATCTAAGCAATTCAATATTCTCTCTACATCCTCTACTAATTAATCCTAAAACAGTTTTTGAACTTTAAATTGGCTCTGGTTTTTAGTCTCAAGAATCTTAGCTCTAATTTTGTCTTTTTGAGCTTCATTCATTTAAGCTACACACTTGTCATTGGTCCTATCAGATAAAAGTAAGGTGTCTCTATCTATCGATCTTATTCTATTCATGAGAGTGTCATTTCTTTATTTATATAGATAAAAAGCAGAAGCAACTCCTTCAACCTAAGCAATCTTCAATGCTTCTTAAATCTTAATTTGCTTCTTCTAATAAATCTTTGTGTTTTAGATCTACTGCTCAGTCGCTTTGTTTTTCTCGACTGTCTTTTCAGCCTTAGCTAAGAGATTTTTATAATAATCTGTCTGCTTATACTCATCTTCTCTAATTTTAATGATCTTTTGTTCAATGATTTTAATGAGCTCATTAAAAAGATGAGCTTTTTAATCATCAAAGACATTTTCCTTGATCTTAAAATTGAAATCCCCTCTAATCTGGAGTAACCAAGGTATACCCAATTCATCAATTTAAAATCTAATCTCTAATAGTTAAACAGCTCTTTCTTATAATCTTGTATTAAATTGTTAAATAGCATTCAATCTTACTGCAATTCATCATTATAAAGAAGGAATAATGTCATGATTACTCGCTAGCAGATTAGATTCCATAGCTCATCATAGTTTTCAGTAAATTATAAAGGGACATTCTTCATCTTCAAAATGCTTATCAGTTTATCGTATTCCACTCTATACTTTGTCTCGTATCCGATATAATAATTCCCCTAGTAAAATCTAACCTACGTCTCATTCAAGATGTGTATTTTCAGATTCTGAAAGTCAGATATAAGTACGAATGCTGATAAAATACACTAAATCATTAAGAATAAGTCTATTACATTGTTTTTATTGAATGTTAAAGGTTTTTTAAGTCTTCTCTGAACAATGCAAGGTAGATATTCTTAAATCTTTGAAATATCACTGGCAGATTCAGGATTGACAATCATGATTTTCTTTTGAGATATATCGTCCTTCTTAAGAATCCAAACAAAATCGCTATTGCTCTCATCAATACTATTTGTGTCATTTTAGTTAAGAGTTTAAGAATGGTGCTTGTACTTTCCCTAATTCTTGCCTTTGAATTCTTTGAACATACGCTTCTAAAGTTCCATAAAATGTGAAGGTATTCTGTAAGCCTCTAAGATAAATTAATCCATACTTGGCAACAAGTCATGAATCTTGAAATATTAATCTTTAATGTGAGTCATATCCATTAATTTTTCTAAGTTCATAACTCTATTCACAAACAAGTATTTATCATGCATCATCTTGTTTTTTAATAAATTTTCTCTATAATGAAAGTATGACTTGCTATTTTCGTTACATTTTATTTAGCCATACAAAGTCAACTTTTTGAAAATCTATTCTTAATGTTTAATTTTTTTACACTTCTGGTTTAGCCTGTAATGCTAATAAATCTTCGTTCTAATTTTTCCAATCTTTACCAATTTGTTAATTCTTATGAATTTAATAGTTACCTCAAGATTTAAGAATATCCATTAAGATAGGAGAATATGAGTTAACAGTAATGTATGAGAAGTTATGGCTGATCTTGTGTTCTTTCATTAGTCCTCTTTAATTTTAATAACAATTAAGAAGTATATTTATTTAATTTTTATTCAAATAGCGCTGAGGCTATTGTTTTTAAGGAAATTAAGACTTAACTATAATCAATCAACTTTTCATTTTCTTTCTTAAATCCTGCACCTCTTATTACTTCTACTGATATATTTTGAATCTTTCCTATTGTTGCTTTTATTAAACTTTTATCCTCTTAACTATGTTTTTGGGCTCTTAGTTGTTATACTGTAGATCATATAGCACATCTATTACTTCCTTCATTTGAAGTACTTCTTTCCTCAAAGCTTTAGATCTTTTAGCCATATAAAGAATATCCTAGGCAACAGAGTCACCCAACTTCACACTAAGTTAATCCTCTTTTCCCAGAATTCCAAATGGTCCCCCAAACTCCTCTTTTTCCTATTAAGAATCTTAAGATTAAATTACTTACATAGCCTGGCATGAAAAAAGAGCGTCTCAATTCTAAATTTTACTATCTTTTTGCTTTTCTCAATGTCTCCTCAATATCAGAGCCTGCATCTTCATAAATATCGTTGTCAAATTCTAATAGAGGATTCTTCATTGGAGAGGCTAAGGCTTGCTTATAGCTAAATGCTGCCATTTATTACTAAGGGTATGGCTCAATCATTTATAAAGGCTGATTATCATTATCTCTTTAAGGATTTTACTGATCGGTGCAAATAACTGAGTACTGCGATGCTCCCTCATCGACTCCAATTGTACCCTCGGCGAATATGCATTTATTGTTGAGAATGGCTACTCTACTTCCATTAATTTTCCCGTAGTCAGCAGCCAATTATAAGAATGAAGATTCATCCCTGATTGAGAAGGGGTTGAATATCAACTCCTTATGCTCAAGGTGCTAATTTTTTTCATTAATGTTGATAAATGCCCAGCAAGCAACACAAACAAACTTCTTGTTTTACCTCTCAAGCTGATTATCTAGCAGTCTCTATTAAAAAAGTTGATATTCTAACGAACCTTTTTCTACCCAAATTAATGGCCTATCGACATTAGTAATTTATGGTTCAAGTTGAGTAAATTCATTCATAGATAATAAATTTTCCAGATATTTAAAGCCAAGTTAAATAATTTTTTAAAAGCCCTAAGTAAAAAAAAAGCAAATATTCAAAATAATTAGTCTTTTTGAGAATTTTTAAATTCATTTTTTATAAATTCATCAACAAAATTGCAATCCTCATTCAAATTTTAGTTTGTAAGGTTAATCACATTTGTTTATTAGTAATTTTCTAATAATTCTGTAGGAATCTATATTTATTCTTTTGGCTCGATATTATTCCAGTTAAGAGCTTCCTCCTTTTTTTTCTTTTCTCTAATTTGATATTTTATTTTTTCATTAAGTTATTGGAGAACAGCTTTTTATGCAAATCCGCTTGACATTTTTTTATTAGAGTTATTAGAATTATTTTATTCAAGATTTTTTAGAATTCTTTTATCAGTAGCATTATTACTTTTATTAAAAATGACCTAAGATAAGTATAGCTTTGTTTAAATTTTTTAATCTTTTGTCAGTGCATTCCAAGTTTTCTAATTCTATTTATTATTAAGCATTTTTTAGACATTATACTTTGCAAAATTATTGCTTTTACTTTAAATTAGATCTTACTCAGGAGATTCTTTTAATTTGACTAAATTTTGTTTGAAATAAGCTATGAGTTATCTTTAGTATTTGGCAAGAGATACCTGTTTTAAGAATTTTAGCAGTTGTTGATTCTTTAAAATTTTAATCACTTCAAACTTTTCATCTAGTTTTAATTTAGCTTGCTTGAACAAAATACTCTATGTGAATACCTTTTGATTTTTCCTTTTACAAATGAATTATTTTAGTTTACTATTGTAAAACGATAGTATGGAGTAATCAAAAGGAACTCAATTCTTTAAATCTCCAACTAATCTATTAAGTTTAGTATCTTTTTATTGATTCTTTAATTCTGCGGTTGATATAGTTTGTTTTTCCTATCTTTTAATCTTAGTGCTATTTGACTATTAAATCTTATCTGATTTGAAATTATTGTTTAATAAGAGATTGATAGTATAAGTATTCTTGTATTTTAGAAACCAATACTTAAACTATGATTGTGAGAATTCCGATAATACCTCCAACATTTGAAAGAGCATCTGAGAGGGTGTATAGCTCTAAGTTTGTTGTGGTTACAATGTCATCAAGAAGTATTTAGCAAGTTATTAATGAATGAAATAATTTAGAATCTCCTATTTACATTTAATCATCTGATATTGTATAGTATGTCTGATTAGATTGGCCTAATAAGTTAGATATTGAAGAAGTACTTTATATTAGAAAGTTTTAGCCTAATTTCAATTGATAATAAAGGGAAAGATCAGACTATACTGTTGCGAAAAACTGCTTCAAGACAGTCCTAATTGGATTGCCAACTTTTTCATTGACATCAATAAACTAATTAGTCATTAGTACATTTAGTGTCATATAGTTTAAAATTCTGTCCATTTCTGCTGCCGAAGCACAAATCAAAGATTTATCCTTTTTGGTAAGATTCGTTTGATTACACTTTCTAACTTATACTTGAAGCAATTAAGCATATTATGTGGCATATGATCCTTAAAATGCAGTTTTGAAATCAATAGGGCAACTATATTTATTAGTTATATTAAAGGTCTCTGTTTAAGATTACTCTCCTTTGAATCTTCCAGCTTGGCATTTAGAAACTGGTAACTCAACAGTTTCTTCTCATAGATTCCCGTTATCATAGCTATTTGTCAACTTCGAAAAGCTTACTTCTATGTATTGATCAATGCTCTTAACATCTTCTTCAGGCATATATATGAAATTAACTTCAAATCCTATGTCAAAGTCTTTATCGCTAATGATCATCTCTCTTTAATCTATTACTAAATTTTTCAAAGAAGTAGAATTAGTTATAGTTATTTTTCTGTCGATGACCTTTAGAATTTCTGATATTAGAAAGGCGAGAATCAGCAATCTAACAAATAAAGTAGCAATGCCGCCAAAAGTTGTTTTAAATGATGAGCTATTTTTATAAGTAAAAGCTATTGGATGGCCGAATTAATCTAAGGATCTAATAAATTATTCAAATTTATGCTTGAAATTCTTGCTTCTTT